GGCTCTCGGAAGGCCAACCCCTTCCCGAGTCTCCTGCACCGCAGCACAGCTGACGGAAGTGCCGACCAAAGCTCTGGAGGGTGCCAAGTGTGAACTCATGGCTCACAGCAGACTCAGATCGGATCTTTGGTTCTGACATTTCAGGGTGACGGTGCTGACCCTCACACTGAGAGACACATGCTTGCATGGAATGTGCACCTGAAAGGCCAGTTGTATTTTGTGTATGTGTGTGTACGTACGTATGTATGTATGTATGTATGTATGTTTGTATTTGGGTCTCGTACATGGCTCAGACTCCTGTCCCAGCCTCCCCAGCACTGGGATTACAGGCATGTGTCACTGTGCCCAGGCTTGGTGGCCGGCTCAGCACATCCAGCGATGGGACCAGGGATTGAACCCTGGTCTCTGCGCTTGCTTAAGCAGGTACTTAGTCTGCTGAGCTATCTCCCTGGCCTGCAGTTTTAAAAATTAATCTTATAAGTTTCCGGTGAAGAACAATTTCTGTGGTTGCTAAGAATCTCAGCATAGTCACCACCACTCGCTTTGTTCACCAGACAAAGCCAATCCTCATGGTTCTTTCTAGACACATAATGCTGCATAAACTGCCCTATTGCTGTGACAGGGTGATTAACAGGTTAGAGCGGCAGGAAAGTGTTAGGCACCTGGCAAGAGGTCCATTTTCCTGGCGAGTCTCTTGATATCTAGCCTCGCATTTCCAAAAATAATTCCTCCTTCCTGGTTGTTGCTGATTTTGCTTGACTGGTAGTTTTTGATATAGTCTCTCACTGTGTTGCCCACAGTGGCCCTCAAATCCAGGATTAAGTGATTGTCCTCTCTCAGCCTTCTGAGTAACGGGAACCGCATGAGTGTGCCACCAGCTCTGTCCTACTTTCTTCATTTTTTTGTATTTTTTTGGGGGGGCCTACAGGGGGTTCAGGGTCTCATTACTAGATCGGACTCATAGTGATCCGCTTGTTTACAGCCTCCCAAGAGCTGGGATTACAGGAGTGCGCCACCACGCCCAGTCTCAATTGCTGTCTCAACATGTCCTGGGGGACAGGCCGGCAAGGCAGGCTGGGGGATTGAACTCCTGGCCCCTATGCCTGTTTGTAGGCTCTTTAATCTGCTGAGCTATTTGGCTGGCCCTACCTTCCTATTTTTCAAGTGGGAAGGATTGTTGCAAATAAGATTCTACTTATTTTCTCCTAATTGAGAATGTTTTGATACATTTACTAAAATTCCTTGAGATGAGTCCTTAAAAATCTATCCAAAATCATGTTTATGTTAATTTTGCTTGAATTTTCACCTCGGTCTGTCCGAATATTTTCCCCCTAAACATAGGAAGGTAAAATACTTCTACTGTAGCCTCACAAAGGTCTTTAAAAAAATAATCATCTTGGGCTAGGGAGATAGCTTGGTTGTCTAAGCGACTGCCTGGCAAGCACAAGGTCCTGAGTTGGATCCCTGGAACTCTGAGGGCACACATGTAACAGATATGTTACAGGACAGAGACAGGGAGACCTGTACCACCTGCCCTCTCCTCTGATTCACTGAGGAACCCCAACCCCCATAACTCTGGGAGCCACGCTGCCCCGCCCGCCCACTGGAAGCTGCTCTGGCCAGTCTTCCTCTCCTGCTGTGCCAGTGTCAGCCTTGGTTGGTCTCCATCTTGCCCCACTGCTGCTCCAGTCATCAGAAGACAACATTTCCCAGTCTTGTTCTCCTCATATTTTCCTGAGAAAGCACCCCAGTCATCCACACACACTAATTTCTCACAGGCAATCAAAGAAGGAGAAGACAGAGGAGGAGGAAATTAAGAAAAGGAGAGAGGAAATACTACTTTTAGCATTACTCACTTAATAGTCACCCTACTTTTATAATTTAGGGTTACAATTTTATTTTCCCACATTATAGAACTCATTCTTTGCCTCTTGAGATAAGCTGGCGGCATCTATTGCTTGGAAAAACTGCCAACAACCTCGGGACCCTGGGATAGCCGTGTGATAGCCTTTCACAAGCTCCTGTAGATGGACGTGTTCCCCTCATGGCTATGGGGTTGTGCAAATGAACATCTGCTACAGCTCTGCGTGGCAGCCCTAAATCCAGCTAGAAGGGCAATCAAAGCCCTGGCAAGACCGTCAGCCAAGTGACTGAGAAGCCAAAGCCATCATTAAAGTTGCAGGGGCCTTTTTAGAATTAAAATTCCATAATGATTGGGTTTGGGGATTTGCAATAATATAGAAATGCTAATTTATGTAACAGAGCTCATCATAAATTCATAATTAAGCAAATGTGGCCTGGCATTTCTCCCATGGAGAAAATTTAGGGACCTTTGCTGAAAGTCATGTTAAAGTGAATCAAATTAAATGATCATTATAACTTCAAACACATCTCAGTCTTCAAAACAGATTTGCAGTCTTCTATGGAGAAAGCAATAAACCCACCACATTCTACACTGATCAGACTACAACTAGAGTACTGTGTCCAGTTAGTGCTGCCTGAATTCGAGATGGATATATAAGAGGTAGGAGAGGAGCTGGGCTGCAGAGAGCAGCACCAGGAGAAGTGGGAATTATATACAGTGGGGAAAAGAATGCTAAGAAGAAATGGAAAACATTTTCAAGTATCTGCAAAAGTATAATACGGGATAGGGAGATTTCATTCTAAATCACAATTAGAACCCAGTAGCCTCATCAATGTGGCCAAATACAGTATATCAGGGCTACAGAAAGTCTAATAGAATTCAATAGGACATTTACAGATAGTTGCCCAAATTGGCCCAGGCAGCTGGAGGCCGAGGCAACTCCTATCACTAGGGCGCTTAGGCAAAGGGGCGCCTAAGCAAATGAAATTCAGGTAGGAAGCCCTTGTTGGGACAGCGTGGCCTGGAAGGTGACACTTTCAAGATCCAGCTCTGAAGAAAAAAAAAAAAAAAAAAAAAAAAGATCCAGCTCTGCAGCATGATGAAGGCAGAAGCCATAAAACAAGAAAAAAGGAGTGCATAGAAAGATGGATAAAATGAAAGGAGCATTAAAACTTGTCTAGTAACTTTGAATTTGCAAGTTGAGGTAATTACATAGGAAATGGTGTTCATTTCTAATTAAATAGGTTGATCTATTATATTCAAGTTGGGGACTCAAAATTTCCTTGCTTTGCAATTATTTTATTATTTACATAAATGTAGGTTGTTACCTAGTCCATTCAAACTTGGCCTCTCATCAGTGCGGCTAACACTGACTATCCGTTAAAAGTGTAATATTTTTTTACGTCTCTCATCATCATATTATATTTCATACGATGTTATCGGAAAGCATACTTTGGACAGCATGGTTTGTGTGTGCGTTCCTCCACGTGAGGAGAAGCTTTCGCTTCTACCTTCTGCACTTAGGACATCTGCTATGGTTTGGACCTAGAGTGTCCTCCCAAAACTCAAGTGGGGAAAGGCTTGGAGTCCAATCAGCAGTGTTCAGAGGTGGGGTTCCGGAGGCTGCTGGATCAGGAGGGCTTTGGGAGGGGAAGTCACAAAGGCAAGCACTCTCTGGTTGCTTTCTGCCACCAGGAAGTGAGGAGTCTTCTGTTCCAGGGCTTCATGAGACCCAAACCATGGACAGAACCTCAGAGACCAGGCCTTACAATTCTATCTTTTGTATTTTCAAGTTGATGTTTACAGGCATTTCATCATAGTACCTGAAAGCTGACTAAGACAAATGCACCCGGAAGTGTTGCGTGAGAATGCACTGAAATCTAATATGACAGTAAGACACTGTACTCTACAAGTCTTATCCATTTGAGGAGGAAGAGAGCTCATGCTTTACAGAAAAAGAGAGAAAAGTGAATAAAAGTCTTTAAAAATATTAGAATAACAGGTACAAACAGCGAGGTAGGTCCTTCCCAGGTCATATGCAACCTGCTGGCCTTAGTTGCTCTGGTGTATGGGCCACAGGCTGTGTGTATGTACTGGAAACATTCACTGGAAACCAAGCTGACGAGTTAGCATGATGCTGCGGATGGCAGGCTTTTCCATTTTTTAGGCTCCGCTCAGTGCAAATCAAGAAGGAAGAAGTAGTCACATTATGCAAAAGAAAACAAGCAAAGAGAAAGGCTTGCACCATGAGACTGATCCAAGAGAAAAGTGTTTCAAGAGGTAACTAATGGAAGGTATGATAAGTTAGAATTTAGTTTTGGAGAGTCCAATGATCCAAGAAAGAGATTTAAATATGATGTAGATTCTACTGCAGAAAATATTTCAGTATTTCAATGAAACTCCCAAATTTGCCATCTTTATAGTATTTATTTTCTTAAGAAATGCTATTTTTCCAATGGAGTTTTTATATATGACATTTATGGTACCAAAAAACATACGTGTTGATTATGACTTGGTTCAAAGCATTGTTTTTAAAATAAGGCAGGAAACTAGGTTCTTTGGAACCTCGCTCTCTGTGTGTGTGTGGTGCGAGGGCTCAGCCGCAGGGCCTCATGCACGTGAGGCAAGAGTCTGCCACCCAGCCCCAGCCCCAGCCCCAGCCCCAGCCCCAGCCCTCAGTTAAGTTTTTTAAACACATGAAATATAGCTACAATCATAGTTTGATCTCTTTCATCAATTCATTGTTGAGAAGTTTACATTGTAAAAGTAGTATTGTTCTGATTGAGTTCAAAAGCAAACTGCAAAGCTTAGAAAAATCTTAGATTGGGCCTCTGATCCTTTGCCTGTGAGGTTACATTCATCAGTTTTCCCTTTTTAGGTTTCAGATATAAACAAAAACAATATTAGTTTCTGCTTGAGAACAGTAATCCAGATAATTAGTGACAACTTTAAAAATGAAAAATGGGCTTAAAGAGTGAGAAAAGACAATCAGGAATACTAAACATTTCTGTTAAATAATCCATAAATAATCTCAAGATAATAAGAAAAGTTAGTGATGCAAGGAAGAGTTACATTTCAAAGAGATGAAAGATAAAGTTGGTAGTTAAGTTTCATCACAGTAAAAATTTACAAATACCTTCTTCAACATCTGAGATATATTCGCCATCACTGAGCACCTCAGGGGCGTTGGCCTTACGAACTGCATGATTGAAGCGAACAATAGAAGCGTGAAAAATACATACTGCTGACACCGCAGCAAACGCTGCAACATTTCCAAGAACATTTCTGCAATCAACTTTCTACGGGGACCATCAAGCACACAGCCTCTCAAAATTATTATGTAGCCAAATGACATTTTCATACCTTCATCATCAGACATATCAAGAACTTCATTCATTGTTTCCGGAACATTCATTTTGTGCTTCTCTGTGACAGCCTAGAAACAAAAATGTTGTCACATTAGTGGAGCAGCCTGCACATTTTTTTTCCTTTTTCTTTCTTTCTTTTTTTTTTTTTTTTTTT